ATTTATAATTTAATTAGTGTTTTTCAGGATGCAAGATTTTTATGCAGGATGTCTGTGCATGCTGATTACTCAGGACTGTGTTTAGTGGCATTCCTGCGGGGAATGAAACATAGTGAAAACATAGAGTTCTTCACTAGTTTACCAGCCCATATAATATTACATTAACTGCAACAAATATATCTACCTCCGCATAACACATTGTAAATTGTAAAGGAAAGAGTAAAGTAAGGATTTTAGGCCAAGAAAATGTTCTCCGCGCTGTCCCAACGCGTGTTGGCAGACTTCAAATGTCTTAATAATTTTTTTAGTTTCTCGGACATACAGGTTTTTTCGCGATGTTTTCCTTCACCGCCGGGCACATTAAAACAGCACTTGAAACTGCAATTAACAATTACATTGCTGCTGGCGGGGATCGAAGTCGGGTTGCCGCGACAACGCGCGCTTAGCCCCTGCGCTACCTTTAAGACTAAAGTATAATATATTAGGATCTATCTAAGTCACTGCCAATATGTACTGATGTACTCATAATATTTACGCGCAATGTTTTCATTTTGGAATAATTTACCATCGGTTAGGTACATAACTTAATCTTAAAATGCATAGACATTAATAACGAATTACGGAAGATTTATTGACGTTATGAAAATGTTAAAAATATAGAAATTTAGAGAATAAACAAAATTGAGAAACTCCGAAAAGTATGGCATATGGCCAACGTACAAAATTCGACGTACAAAAACTAAAAAGCACGCAACATAAGGTTTAAGCTTCCTGTTTCTATAATTTGTATAGACATCTGATAATGTATCTATAATTCTCGTATTAATGTATACAAGTGGTCGCCTGGTGGTAGAGATTCAACCTTAATTCATAAATTTTTTAAGTTTGTATATTAGGCAGGCTGTATTTAACTTTCACCTGCACCATGGATGACCTGCACATTAATATAAAAACACTGATACCTAACTAATATACAAAATGCAACATAAACACATTTTTGGCCTTCACATACACTCACATACTATTCAAAAAGTAAAATTTTAAATCACACAAAATTATTCAGTAAATCTGTCTGTGGTATGTGACTGTTTTACCGTAGACTATTGAGTGTTTGACATTGGCCTTAGAGTAATATTATACATATAACTTACTCTGAGACATTGTTAGTATGAAACCTAGACAATAAGAATAAGTATATATCGCTGGCCCCGGGAAATATAGTCGTAAGCGCATGTTACGCCCTTTTTAATGTTATTTGATTTTTGGCTTCTCTGAATATCAATTTATCACTATTATTTTTTTAGTTTTTTTTTATTGATATTTCTTTAAAATAAATGAACTTACAGCTTTATTGCATGGAAAATTATCTAACGACTAAGTTATGTATTATTGCATTTCTCTAAGCAACATACAACAAAAACCCGGTGAACGTCTTTAAACTAAATTTATGAACAAAGAGGAACAGTAATACATTTTACCGCGTTTTTGAAAATAAACTTATTACATCAATAAACTGTAGACACTTATTACGAAGTAATCACAAGAGATTTTATTCTGTACAAGCTATTACGCCTTTCTTCCCGTAAATATATTGTAACCCCGGCGACGTAATGCCATTTTACGCTGAACGCCATCCCTTTCACTCCTACATATAAATGATTACCGCTTGCTTTATTATTTGGCACAACTCACCTGAAGCACAGATTTAAAGATAATCTTATCACTTGATCTATAGAATGTGATAATGTGTGTGAATCAACAACTTACAACACTAAGTGACACAACGATGCAACAAGCAACAAATAATACAATACACAACACTGGAAACAGTATGCCAAGATCTCACAATAGACCAAAATGTTTTATGCACTACACCGGTCGATAATAATAATTCAAATATTTTGATTTTACAATGTGAAGAAATTGCCGTCAAATCTAATGGTTGCAATAATACCATAACTTTACCTGCAGATTTCTTAGTTGAAAGCCAATCTACAACGATAGAAAATGTTGACGTTGAAGTTAATGACTACAACCAATCTACAACCACGGAAAATGTTAACATCGAATCTAATGACTGCAACCAAGCTTCAACGACAGAAATTTTTCCATCCGTATCTGATGAATCAGCAATCACCAAAGAACTAACTAAAAAAAGCAATACGAAGAAAATTGGGCAAAAGTTACGAACAAAAAGTAGAAAAATTCAGGCTAAGCTTATAATGGTAGTAATTCGAAAAAAATGTTTGAATCCAAATTAATGACACCTGTAAATGTAATAAAAAATGCGGTGAAAAAATTTATCAAGTCTCTCGGCAGGCTACATTCGATGAATTTTGGAAACTTAGTGATCACGTGGATAGGGAATCTTACGCTATGTAAACACTAAAGATATTAAAAAAATGCAACTAGTAAGCACAAAAAACAGGACACACACTATTAGCTATTTTTTCAAGATAAATGGATTAGAATCAAATAACGTATGCAAAAAAATTTATTTGAGTACACTTAGCATATCCGAAAAAACTGTTTTCACAGCAATAGAGAAAGAGAAATCTGAAGAAGTGAAATATAACAGAGGCTTTTTTTCCAGTTAAAGAGTCAGAGTTAAAGAATCACATTATATGCGAAGAGGTACTAAGAAGTTATACTTAGAAGAAACACTGAACATTTCCAAAATGTACAGGCTGTATTCTGATGAATGGTTTAAGAGAGAAAATTATGTAAATAATAATTTTCTCTCTTAAACCATTCATCATTCACAAAACGACAGTATGAAACTGTGTTTAATACAAAATTTAGTTATTCTTCTCATAAACCTAAAAAAGTTGTGTGAGGCCAATATACTTTGTATCGTCAAGCTGATGGTGAAAGAAAAGACCAATTCCAAGAAGCTTACACAAAGCACATTAGAAAAAAGCAATGTGTTCGTGAACTCAAAACCAAAGATAAAATAGAAGTCGATCCTACGACTACTGTCGTCGCTGTATATGATCTGGAAAAGTTCTGACGATTCTTCATTCAGACGTAGGAATCTTTCATTAGAAGAGAAAGTATCCTATATAGAACTTTACAATTTACAACTCATTAAGTGGAAGAGGTTACCGCTATCTATGGCACTATCAAGTGGCCAAAAGGGGTGCTAATGAAATCGGCAGTTGTATCCTAAATTTTATTGAAACTGAGAGCTAACGTGGTATCAATAATTTCATATTTTATTCTGATGGTTGTGCTGGTCAGAATAAAAACAGGATTATCTTTGCTTTTTATCTATATTTGGCCAAAAAGTATGGAGTTAACATAATATATAGGTACTTGGAAACTGGCCATAGCCAGTCTGGAGGAGATTCGATTCATTCTCTTATTGAACGCGCAAAAAAGAACTACACAGTTTATACTCCTGAACAAATGCATGGCATAATCATGAATGCCAAGATCAATGCTGAACAATTTTATCTTAAAGAAATGGAACAACATAATTTCTTCGATTTAAAGGAGATAATGGACAAAAGATACTCGTTGCAGGTAGATTAAACTAATGAAAAAGTTCTATGGACAAAGATTCACAAAATCAAAATTACTCAAGCCCATCCAGATGTTATTTATTTGAAGTATTATTTTGACGATGAGTATATTTCTTTTACTGTTTTTTATTTAAATACCGCATCAAATACCAGATCTTCAAGTGGAAGACCAAAAAGACGCCAGTGACTGATGTTTCAGGAGATGAACTGAGAAATCTGTACAGAGAGCCATTTGCCTTACCAAAACCACTTTATTATGATTTGATGAGTCTCTGTAAAACTTAAGCAATCCCGATACATTATCATATAATTTATAACAATTTGCATTGTGTTAGGAACTTTGAAGAAGAAATCGATAAATATTGAAAACGAAGATTTAAATTAAAGTGGTATAATATTTTTTTCTATATTAAGGTTTTGACGATTTTATTTGTGTTTCATTCATTCAAATTAATGTAGTATAGTACTATTTTTCTTTTTTAAGGGATCATGATCGTTTTATTTTTGTTACTAAAGATTAATAGTTAATAAAAATTATATGTTTTTATTCAAAATAAGTTGCATAGTATTTTTTTAATTTTTTAAGGGATTGACCGTTTTATTTTTGTTTCCAAAGTTTAATAGTTAATAAAAATTATATGATATTATTCAAATTAAGTAGCACAGTATTTTTTTAATTTTTTAAGGGATTGACCGTTTTATTTTTGTTTCCCAAGTTTAATACTCAAGAAAAAAATGTGATTTTAAATGGTTTTTTATTTATACGAAATAATAATCATTTAACATTTAATTACACGAGAATTAGGTAGTAGTAACATTAAAAAAATATTTAATTTCATAAATTACTGTCTAAATTGGTTAAAAATAAAACTTAATTACACTATAAGGTCGCATAAAAATATGTTTCATTGATACAATTCTAAAATAGCGATTAGTGGATGATACAGCTAAGCTTTGGCTATAAAATTTCCTTGAAGAAGGTGGTAATCAGCTGGTACGCTCGAGATCTTAAGTGTAAATCACGTCGTATTATATTCTTACATTCCCGAATCTACGTGGTCGGTGTATTTAAAAAGTCGTTAATGATGTTGCAATTGAAATGGTATGATCTATAATTTGTATTATGTATTTTTCAATTATTTCGTTAAATATTTATACCATTACAAGTATTTTTAAAAGGTTAAATTGGTAAAAAATTAGCTTATATTTGACATATCTAACGCCTCTTTTGGATCATTGTACGCTGAACTATAAACAAATTAGCTTCTGTAAAATTTGATTTTTGATATTACCGCTTTACTGCCCGGGGCCAGCGATATGTTTTATTTTATTTAACTCATTGTCCAATTTTCCATGTAAACTTTAACTATGCCGAATCTCCTATTCCACTCAGTGCGCTCAATATGCTTATAAAAGGGGAACAAAGTGTTCACGTCATGTATTAATATGTAGATAAGTATTTTTTTATTGTTGCAGCGAGCGGCGCGCTCGCAGCCGGCACCATTGCGTCTCCGTGGAGCGCGGCGGCCGGCGCGCCCGACACCAACGGCTCGGGCGGCGCCGACGCCAAGCATCTCGACGTGGGCGACGCGAGTGACGATGAAAAGGTAAACTTCCTTACTTTTTGATAAAATAAGGTGTATGTGAAGCACACCGTCCACCTGATGCTAAGTGGATGCCGCGTTCCATAGACGTCTACATTTCTCTTCAATTAAGAATCAAAATACAGATCCATTATCATCCCTGAGGACAAAGATGGAATACCACGTTTACTGTATAAATCGTCTCCGGTTCTCTACACTCACCACATGAAACACAGCAGCATGAAGCTGCTATTGTATGCTGGTATTCTGTGCGAGCGTAGTAGGTACCCCGGTCGAGCTCGACATATTCGTGCTACAAACTTAATATAGCTGCAGTGTGGCTATACCTTTTCTGAAAATTTTGAAAGAAGTCGTAAAATTGTCAGAATATAACTGACAATTTTATAGTTTTTGTAACTTCTTTGAAAAAGGACCAAAATAAAATTACGCATTTTAATAACCCTCATCATTAATAAATATTGAATGTTATGTTAAGACGACACATCGAAAAGGCTATCGCCGTACTGATCCGAGTGAATACATAATTTCTATAAAAACTTGAAAAAACGCCGTCATAAAGTCTAAAATAGCGTAGCGCCCGCGACGATTAAAAGCGCTTAGAAATTGTCAGAATCTTAAAATATTTTTTTATAAAATTATTGATTTAAGTAATCAGAATAATGAGCAAGTAAATTATGAATATTGATGTTATGAATATATTTGAGTGATTCCCAAGCATATAGTTTAAGTAATTTCGTTATAATTTCAACTATTGTGATTTTTAGAGGTGTTTTCGCAAATAATTGTGATCGAGTCAAAATTATACAATCGTGTTTTTGAACGATCAAATTCAGGATAAAGACATGAATTTGCCTATATCAAAATTCCACTTTCGTTAGTGGTGTTCTATACTATTCGATGAAAGGAGATGCATTTTTTCACGGTGTCGCCTTAATTATGTAGCTTAGTTAATAACACAGTCTTTTGTTTGATTGAAATAAATAAGTTCTTGAGGTACCTTCAGAAAAACAACATTAGAATTATCGTTACGTACACATCATCACCATCATTACAGTCCTTCACAAGTCAACTGCTGAACGTAGGCCTCCCCCAAGCAATGCCACAAAGCACGGTCCTGAGCCACCTGCATCCATTGAATTCCTGCATGTCTTACCAGGTCGTCACTCCATCTAGTGGGGGGTCGCTCTACACTACGCCTACCGGTACGAGGCTGCCACTCGAGAACCTTTCTTCCCCATCGGTTATCGGTTCTACGAGCTATATGGCCGGCCCATTGCCACTTCAGCTTACTAATCCGTTGGGCTATATCGGTCACTCTGGTTTTACTGCGGATATCCTCATTTCTGAGTCTATCACGCAGAGAAACTCCGAGCATAACCCTCTCCATAGCTCGCTGAGCGACCTTGAGCGTCCTCATACGGCCAGCAGTGAAGGACCACGTTTCAGATTCGTAAGTCATCACTGGCAACACGCACTGGTTGTACACTTTAGTTTTCAAAGATTGAGGTATACCTGACGAGAAGATGTGTCGTAATTTCCCGAACGCTGCCCAGCCGAGTTCAATCCGTCGATTGACCTCTCGGTACGAAGTTGGACTTACCTAGTCGGACTATTTGTCCCAGGTAAACGTACTCGTCAACAACTTCGAGCATAGTGCTCCCAACAACTACCGGCATAGGTGTGACATGGACATTAAACATGAACTTTGTTTTTTCATCTTAAGACCTATCCGTTGGGAGGCACTATTGAGGTCATTGAGCATAGTGCTAAGGTCCTCCAGCGATTCTGCCATAAGGACTATATCGTCGGCAAATCGAAGTTGAGTGATGTACTCGCCATTGATGTTAATACCGTATCCTTTCCAGTCCAGTAGCTTGAAAACGTCTTCCAACGCAGCGGTGAAGAGTTTCGGGGATATAACGTCACCCTGTCTTACACCTCTCTGCAGTTGGATAGGTTTCGAACTCTGGTTCTGTACTCGGATAGCCATCGTAGCCCTACTGTACAAACACTTCAGCACTTCGATATACCGACAGTCAACTTGGCACCGCTGAAGGGACTATAGCACCGCCCAAATTTCGACGGAATCAAAGGCTTTCTCATAGTCCACATATGCCAGGCAAAGTGGCAGATTGTACTCTTCGGTCTTCTGTACAATCTGCCGTAGCGTATGTATGTGGTCTATGGTACTGAAGCCTTTTCGGAAACCGGCTTGTTCGGGAGGCTGGAAGTCGTCGAGTCTGCGTGCGAGACGATTCGTAATGACTCTCGAAAACAGCACGTAGACGCGGCTCAGAAGGGAAATCGGTCTGTAGTTCTTCAAGAGAGCGTTGTCGCCTTTCTTAAAGAACAAGACCACCGCACTTCTGCTCCACGCCTCCGGAGTAGTGCCAACATGGAGGACGGAATTGAAGAGCTTCTGAAGGACTTCAAGTACCGGTGTTCCACCCGCTTTCAGAAGCTCCGCTGTAATTCCATCCTCGCCTGGGGCCCTGCTGTTTTTAAGGTGCTGGAGAGCCATTCTAATCTCGCTCAGACTGACGTCCGGGATATCATCGGAATAGTGTCGGGTAAGACTTGCTCTTGGATCGTTACTCACACTTGCGTGTGGCTCCAACGATGATGTGTACAGCTGCCCATAGAACCTCTCAATCTCACTCAAAATCTCAGGTGTCCCGGAAACGATGCTGCCACACTCAGTCTTCAGCTTTGACAGTTGGCTCTTTCTGGCAGACAGATCTCTGGCAGACTTTGGAGCCCTGGTTCCGCTCTATCGCTTCTTTAATACGAGCAGTATTAAATATGCGTAAGTCTCGCCGCGTGCATTTGGAAATCTGTCTGTTCAGTTGCTTGTATGCTGTCAAATCTGTTGATGATTGCAGCCTCATCTCCCGTCTAACAGCCATGAGATTAACGAGTGTGATCGGAGAGTTTTTGTGTTCTTCTGCGGCGGGTCTTGCAGAACTTAGCTCCGACCGCATGGACAGTTTCCACGAGCTTGTCATTCATATCGTCCACTGCATTGCAATCTTCTAGGCACTGAAAGCGGTTGCGTAACTCGAGCTGCAAGGTTTCGGGATTTTGGATCAGAGCACGAGGGGGACGGAGCGTTGACTTCATTAGACGAGCCCTCTCCAACTTAACGTTTAGGTTGAGTGTGCCTCTAACCATTCGGTGATCGCTGCCGGTTTTCACCCTTGCGATCACTGAGACATCACTGAACAGTTGGCGTCTGGTCGTCATAATGAAGTCAATCTCATTTTTTGTCGAACCGTCGGGGCTCGACCAGGTCCACTTCCTGTGGGGCCGCTTCTGGAAGAAAGAGTTCATCATAAAGAGTCCCTCTTTCTCCATAAAGTCAGCCAGCTGCTGGCCCCTACGGTTCCGTTGCCCTACTCCAAATTTCCCTAACTTCAGCTCACCGCCTTCTCTTGTGCCTAGTTTTGCGTTGAATCTCCCATCAACACCGTGTAGTGGGTTTTGGAGGAATGCATGGCTCTAGAAATATCCTCATACATTTCCTCCACCTCCTCATCGGGATGTGCCGAGGTTGGTGCGTAGACCTGTATGACCTTCAGCGAATACCGTTTGGTGATTCTGAGTATCAGGTACGCGACCCTCGTCGACACACTCCCAATCTTTACAACGTTGTTGACGAGAGACTTGTGGACGATAAATCCTACACCTCCTTGGGACAGATGGTCGCCCTCCCGGTGATAGAACAAGTTGCCGGACTCGAGGATTACCGTATCCTCCCCCTCTCTTCGGACCTCAGATAATCCAATAATATGCCAGCGTAGCTTGTCTACCTCTTCTTCCAGCTCCAGTATCTTCTCGTCAGTCCTCAGGGTGCGTGCGTTAAATGTTGCCAGGTCGAGTCGTCGTAGGTGGCAACCGAACCTCCACCGGAGATTCTTAGCACCCCCATATTTACATACGCACACATATTTATCTACACTCACCGGCACGGAAACTTGGCCAAGCGGTTATCTCGCGATAGCAAAAGCTTTAAGTGTTTCTGATGAATGTTTGTTATGCAAGTATGTCAAAAAATGTTTACCCTCAAGTTCAAGAGGGTAATTCATTATGTTTAAGTGCACCATGACGAATTCTTTAATTTTTAGTTGAATCGGGTCATTTGAGCGACTAAGTTCACATTTTAAATTTGTGTGTTGTGAAAAGTTTACTGTAAGGTTATTCAATTATTGTGATCTTGTGTCTTAATTAAATAACTAAAGGTGCTTTAAAGCCAATAAAAATGCCATTAACACCAGCACAAGTTGCACAAGCAGTAGCATTAATTGACCAAGGGCTGACACAGCGTGAAGTTGCTATTGTGCTTAAAGTACCACGGTCCTCAATGCAGTATTCACTGAAACGAAACCAGGAGACAGGCCGCTACACCCGCAGGCCAGGCAGTGGGGGCGTAAGGTGCACATCTGCCCGGGACGATCGTTTTATTGTTATGGAGATTTTGAGAAACCGCTACCTGACCGCTGTTGAGATACGCCAGCGGCTCCAAATCGCAAGAGGCGTTAATGTTAGTGAGCGTACGGTGAGAAGACGAATGGAGGAAGTGAATTTAAAAGCTCGTAGACCAGCACGAGGTCCAGAACTTCTCAGACAGCACCGAGTAGCCCGACTTCAGTTCGCAAGAGAACATGTCAATTCGACTCACGAGCAATGGGCTAGAGTGTTGTTCACAGATGAGTGTCGAATAGCTTTACGTGCTCCAGACGGTCGAGAACGAGTGTGGAGAAAAAGAGGAGAAAAGGTTTGTACCCATTACCACCACCCAAACTGTGAGTTTCCATGGAGGCTCAATAATGGTATGGGGAGGTGTAAGTTCCGACGCACGTACAGAGTTGGTCATCGTCGATAATCGGCTTACAGCTACTCGATACATCTAGGAAGTTCTTCAGGAGCACGTAATGCCTTATTCGGGATTCATTGGACACGACCAATTCCTCCTCATGCACGATAATGCACGCCCGCACGTCGCA